ATGGTTTTATTCTGTGCAGCACCAGACACTCCATGAAGAGAATAAAGGCCATTAGTGAATTTCCAAGCTCATTTTAAGGGGCTTTTGGTTATCTTTCATTATATTGCTATTCACTGACTCTCTCGATGGTCTCTTGAATGAAACAACTAACACTGAACAAATGTTCTAGCAAGAAAGCAGTGTAAAAAGTTAACATTAAACACCAGTTGTCAACTTTTTTGATCTCTCAGAGGGTGAAAGAAGAGTTTCTGTTTGCATGATGATGCAAAATGAACCCTGGGCATCAGGAATATTTGCTAAGTCAATAACCAGCTACCACCAAAGTCAATAACCAGCTACCACCACAGCTGGGACAAGGAAGCAGCTGAGACTGATGAGCTGCTTTTGCTTGCTTTGAGGGATCTTCCATTTGGAGAAGGAGGAAGCCATAAAATAGAGGATGATTTAAAAAAAAAACATCTTGAGTGAGCAGCAGCCAGAGTTGAGTTGTGTTAAGAGCATGGACTTGGGCAGAGCTGAGCCAGGGCCTCTCAAAGAAGCTCTTGGAGAAGGGGTAGGAGGCAGACCGGCCCTTCAGAGAGTGCTCTGAGCTGAAGGCTGAATGAAGGTTCCTCAACCAGTGAGACCAGAAGCACAGACTAAACCATGCTGGTCACAGGGGGTCAGGTTCTGGCATTGGCAGTGCTCCAGGTGAGCATTTCAGTGACAAAAAGCAACCCCTACCACTAATCTTCTGACCGTGGTGAGCTGAGAATCTCAGCCTACAGTAAAACACTCCTGCCCCAGCCCCACTGCCCCTGTCTTGCTCTGGCAGCTCATGAAACATCCCATGGACATTTCATCCTGTGAAACCTCCTGGCTCACCTCTGCCACGTGGGAACTGCTCATTGCCAAGGCAGGGCTCTAAAGAGCTGACACTGTTCGTTTGGAGGGTGTTACCCAGCAGATAATGTTCCAGCCTAGGCAGGACCAATGCACACCAGGGCACACCTGACAATCATCCTTGCTGTCACCCAGTTGTACATCACCCTGAAAATTCAGGTCAAAAATGTCATTCTTGCTAGAGAGGGAACACAGCTCTGCCACAGGTGCACCAAGGAACATTGGGTTAGATTATCTGAGAGTGAGATTTGTCCAACCTGTCTTGCCATTACACCATATCAACATTGACACAATCCAACCAAAAGGAACTCACCTCTCATATTAATTTCTAAAAGACTTGGTAATATTTCTGCTGTTCTTCAGATGTACAGCATCTATAACTGAAATAATTTTTTCAGCATATGTAATAATAGTTTTAAACAGATTTCCCATGAGTTATACCAAAGCCTTGATAAAGAAAAGGCTTTTAAATACGTTGTTCTGGATCCATATTTACTATTCTTCCCCAAATCTATTTCATCCTTGTCAGTTTTTAGAATCCTCAGTAGACCACACCAAAAAAGTTAATGGGAAATAGTCAATCCTAACCATGAGCTCCTCCCTTCAGGATAGGACATGGCACAATAGATACTGATTTGTTGATGAATTCTGTTTCAAAACATCCATCCTGTGCTTAGACCCACAGTCAGTGGATAAGCAGGGTTTGTGTGAGCCACAGGTATGTTTTACAGCCTTTGCTCCCATTTCTGCCCCAGTAAAGACATATTCTATGTGTATAAAATGAAGAGTAAATCCTCCAATTTATGCCAGTCTGAACCAGACAAAAATATTGAACCCAAAGCTCCACTCAGATCTTTGTCCTGTTGCATTGCCTGTTCAGTCTGGCTAACACAGGAGATTCCACTCAAATAAACAACCAAATATTGATATTTATGCACATGGAACAAGGGGTGATGTAAACTTTTGAAGTTTGCTTGTGTGTGCTTCAAACCCAACAAACAGTGTTTTTACTTTGAACCTTCCATCTCAAAAACTAAGAAAAAGATGCCTTTCAAGTAAACAAATGCAATTCAAATCAAGGCAGAACATGCAGTGTGAAATCTGCTACCACATCACAAGGCAGCAAGTACAGCATTAGAGCTCAGCTGCACACCACTAACACCAAGATTTTGTAGTAAAAACATTGACAGACCTTTAATTATTATAGTACCTCCTGGCAGTGCTATAATTAGATTGAACATAACTATTAGTCATCTTAATTAGTACACACATTCCTTGTTTAGCACAATAAAAATTACAAAGCAAGGATGCCACTTAATTAGGTGACCTGGGAATTGATGCCTACCTATATTTCACTTTTATTTTAAGTGTCCTTACCAAGATTAAATCTAATATTTATAGCCAGGAATGGGTATTTATATGGTTCTCCACCTGTACGTAAAATCACCTGTTAAATTAATATATATTAAATACCTCAAGGACATTTCTGAAGTTATGCTAGCAGTTCATTTTGGAATTGTATTCTAAGGAAAGAAATACATCACAATTTTAGAAACTCAAGGTTAATTGCATATTCTAATAAGTGTCTTACATACCATAAATTTAAAAGAAAAGAAAGTGCATTCAGTTAAATCCCCATCATCCTTCCAGCTCTCCTGATGAGGCCTCATTGTTCCCTAGTGAAGCGCTTGGACCTCCTTAAAACTTCTGACACAGAGACCATCTGATGGCTGCACTCCTGCAGGGAGCGAGGGTGGACACATTGGATCTGAAACCCCACTGAGCTCCCTCACCCCAGCAGCACAATATGTACAATATATACCCACATTCAATAAGACAAACATAAACAACTATCTTACACGGGCTTGAAAACATCCAGCTCTGAACCTGCAGCTCAGGACCTGTCTGTGGATCCAATACCCCTATTAAAACAAATGCCTACATGCTCAGGACTGGAGTTGTATTTTCTGCTCTTTTGTGGCTTGGAATTCACCTGCACTTTCCTCTTTTTGGCTCCTTGCCTTGTCCATAACTGTTGCAGGAGATTCCCTCAGGAAACTGGAAAAACTGCTCAGTGGTACTTTACTATTTACTCGAGCAAAGACACTCACCAGTGTATGGCAGGAAGTAAGAGCTCTTTAAAAACCTTTGATTGGCCAAGGTAGCTTTAGTTTTGAAGGTCTAACAGATCTTATAAAAATGCTGGTAACTCAACAGGAAAATACAATGGAACTCACCGCTTCCAACATCAGTTTTTGAAGAATTAACGCCACCATGAATAGCACCAACTCCTCAAACACAATTTCTAGCTGCAATTTCTGCAGATTTTTTTTTTTTTTTAAAGTAGAACTAAGTAGCCACACACTACTTTAGAGACGTGCTTCTAATTGTGAATCTCATCCATCACACATTTTAAACCAGTGGGAATCTGGTATAAGTAATCCCTGGTACTAGGAAATTCTCCTGCACTTCACAAGCCCCCTAATTCCTGCAGTGCTGACAAGCCAGGGAGAGCACATTGAGGGCATTTGGTGAGCTGTGTGGGGACTTGGGTTTAATTTGGAGTCTCTGACTTCACCTCAGAAAGTGGCAGAGCAAGGTGGTCTGTGCACTTTCCCGTTTCACAGGTCAACCGAGGAGTTATTTATCTGAGGCTTATTGAGGCTTGTGGTCTAAAATGAGACCAGCTGCTTGTTTTGCAGCATCAGACAATGATGCTACAGAATTGCTGATTATTTTTAACAATTTTAATTGCACTAGATTCATACACAAGTTTCTTGAAAATAAGCCGTGCCCATTTTGCCATACACAGATACACCAAATACAGTGGGAGACGCAGAATAAAGCAGCTGAGAGGCTCGAGTGTGCATCTTTAACTGTGTGAATGCACTAACACCATCTTGTTTAAGCCCTGAGTGGGCAGAGAGTCTTTCAGTCTCCCCAGAGCACAATGCAGCCTACAATGAACAGCTTCGGTGTGATACAACAGCACTGCCATAAAACTGCTGCTCAGAACGAGAGCCCACAAGAAAGAAAAAAAAAAAAAGACAAAACAAAAATGTCGTGACATTTGGTAAGGAAACCAACCGTGCTCTCTTGCCAGGTACTTGCTGACTCTGCCAGACTCCAATCTCCTCCCTCCAGCCCGGAAAGCCCACCACAGCAGTTAGCAATCTGTTCACCCCATCATTAAACCCATTATCCCTTAGTGATGGAAAAGTCTATAGAAATGCCACAATGCCTCTGCCCTGTGGCAAATCCCACTCCTTCTAACTGGTGAGCATTTAGTATTTACTATCACAGATTAACTTGAATTTAAAGACAAAAAAAAAGAAAAAGAACGAAAAAAATTGCTTCTGTAGGCAGACAATAGTAAATATCAATACGTTTCATCAGAGCTCCTCTTTCCTTAGTTCTAGATCAATTACAGCAACTATTTCTTCTCCAGGATAATTCATCAAGCTAGTAATTAAAATATGAAAAACAGGAAATTCTCTCTTACTTCCTCACTTCAAATGACTTTCCAATGATAATTGTTAGAGACATGGAGGAAATGGTTATCGTTTGCCAGAGATGAAAAGACTTGCCAAAAAAACACGGCAGAGTTGATATTCAATGTACCCAGCAATAGAAAAATAATATAACACATGTAAACAAATTAAGGCAAAAACAATAGAGGTGCAGGAACTGATTTTTCTTACCACGACAGGTTTTCTGGTTTCTTTCACTTCATCAGACTGCAAACTCTCAAACCACAGGCTCCCCAGTAAATATTTCTGGCTACTTCAGGAAAATCTTCCAGTGATGTGGCCCCAAGGTGATGGCGTCAGGATTTCAGGGTCCAAATCCTCCTGAAAAGCTGCACTGTGCTGGTGGATTTCTTGTGCATCCATGAATAGCAAGAAGAGGCAATTACTGTAAATGCTTTGTCCATTATCCCCAAGTAGCCTGACACTTCTGCAGAAAAAGTCTGGAAATGCAAGTGTTTAACACGGATAAAGTGATGTCTCAGGGCTGCAGCTTTGGCACACACAGAAGTTGAAGTGGGCACCATCTCTCCAACCTGATGAAACAGCACAAGTCAGTCTGCATTGGATCACACTGTATTGTGCCAGATTTCCTTCATAAATGCCTGTCTGCCAAAACAAAAGGAAATAAAGGAAAGAAGCACAAGGCCAAGGTTCAGGAGAACTAATGATGCCACAGAGACACTTCAGTAGGCTGTGAGGGGGACTTGACTATTAACACAAAACTCAGCAAGTATTTACCCAGGTTTTTTGCAGCTGAGCACAATTCTTGTTACTTCCAACACAGTCTGTACACTCTGCCCCCCTTGCCCACGAGCCTGAGGGGGGACCTTGGGGGAGGCAGTGAAGCCCAACCTACAACATACTTTAATTTAGAACAAGTCCTCCTTCCTCCCTCTTCTCCCATCTCCTCACTCCTGTAACAGACTGGGTATTCTCCTGTAATAGCTCTCCCCTCTGGTCTCTATTAACAGCCTTTTGGGTCACATTGTTCAGTTCTGATTTAGTACAGGCTCTCCCATTAAAACTAACAAGGTAGAGCAAGGCTCTGCTTCACTTCCTCCTCATGATTCTGTTTCTGTTCTTTCACACAACCATCAGAAATACTTTCTCATGGCTCAGGTGACAAACCACTTTCCCCTTTGCATTGTTTCTCCAAAGTTATACTTAAGAAAGAGGAAAGTGGTGCCTGGCAGTGAGGGTGAGGAAAAGGATGAGGAACAGCCCCACGAGCAGGGAGGCTGAGGAAGGAGCAGTGCTTACCATCACCTCCACTCAACTTTATAATTTATTTCTCCACTTCAAGACTCCGGTCTTGACAAATTCTGAAAGATTCAATAAAGAGGGAGCGTGTGATTTGCTATGTGAGGAGACATTCTGTCCCAAAATGAAACCCTTACAGAAAGAGTTCGCTCTCATCTCCACCAAGAACCGTGTTTTGTGACTGGGGAGAACTGAGTGAGTGATGGAGATTCTGCTTTTCCACCCCAAATACATGCACTTATTTTTGAAATATAGGACTGGAGAATTTTTCCCTAGGAAAGGTTTATTCATAATAAATAAAAGAAAAACAGTTTCAAGCCGAACTGCCTTCCAAATTAGAGCTTGACTTCAGCTTTTTCAATTTTACAAGTCAAACCTCTTGCTTTTATTAAGGGTGCAGTTGAAATTTCAATTTAGTCATGGTTGGATGTAGTTCTTCATTCAACTCACAAAAAATATTCGATTTATTGAAATGCTTCAGTTTTAGATCATTCCAAGCTAATATTTGTTCAGCTCAGCTAAGCTGAAAACCAGAAAAATCTCTGTTTAAATATAGTAGAATAATTTCTTCCATCCCTGTATCTATGTCAGCCTAATCAGGTCACTGGTGAGAACTGTTGACTGGTAGAAACACAAGGCTTTCTCTTTATGAAAAATGACTGACCTTGCTTTAAAGCAATTTAGTTTGTGTCAACATTGCTTTTCTCATTAAATAATAGGCTCTAAGTGGCACATCCATTCTTCTTCAGCACAGACAAGAGCTCTTCAGGCAAATTCTGGGATGCTATTTTTAGGCATCTCATAATAATAACGTGTTCAGTGCACTGCTTGGAGTATGTCTACAATAATTATTCCCTGTCTTCTCTGTTGTAACGGTCAGGTCCAGAGAGAGCTCGTAAAAATGTTAGATCTGCACCCTTACTTGGATGCAGAAAGAATTTCAGATAACTGTAAATGTTTGGTAGCATGTTCTCTGTGGCACACAAACAGGGGTGGCTGTAAATAACACCTATGCAACAAGTTCATTAAACATACACACACCTCTGTCTGCAAATGCTGAACAACTTGAGCATAATTCTTCCTCCTTTAGTCACTGAGATGACTCCTCTTCAACCACTTCTCACTAATTCTCTCATATTTGGTGTTTCCTATATATATTACCTGGACAGTCAAGCAAGAATTGGAGATGATGACACAGAGAACTTCATCTGTCAGAACCAGACGAGCAGTGAGAGGAAATATTCTGTTCACTTGCTTTTTTTGCTTTTAAACATTTCTTTTTTACCTCTCTTTCCCCCCTCCTTTTTCATTTATTTTCTCTTTATGGCCATTTCAAATCATCTCACAGTGCTTTGTAGGAAGGTTCTCAGTCCAGATCTCAAGGTGACATGTATTACGTTATCCCTGCCAGTATTCCCAGTAATTCCTTAGAATGTGATGTTTTGATTACATATTTCTCAGGAAATGTGCTTCCCTGTAATTAAACATTAGAACAATGCAAAATCAACCAAAAAGAATCTAATTAACATATTTAAATACATATTTATACCATCCACATTATTAGACCAGGTCATTCAATATCTTTGCTTTGTGTATTGGCTACTAAAGATATAACAGAGGCTTACTCAGACTGTTCTGTAGTGACGAGTCATCTCTGTGGGGAAATCATGTGGGATATCAGTCCTGTTGTGGCACACAAACAGCTCATCAGAGCTTTTTAATGATTTATTAATGTAGTCAGTCTGGTAGCATTTTAGCAGTGGTTATCAGAATTGCAGTTAATGGTGTTCCTTGCAGGTCTAACAACCTCACGTGCCTTTTGCAACGTATCACAGGCCAGACTGGCACTGCTTTGACTCAACCAAAGTCTTAGTTTAACAAACCAATGTCTTTCTGCAACAGAGACCTGTTTTCAGCCCTATACAGACATTATTTATAGGATCCCTTAAGGTTCTTGATCAGATCTAGTGCAATGTCACGTCACTACCCTTCCTCCAGGTAGCCCTGTTAATCAGCATGATGTGATTTGTCATTTCTAGGTTGATGACATGCAGCTCTGTGACTTTTCAAAGCTTAGCATTGCATATGCTGTCGCACCATTTCAAACACATTGAACTAAAGCAAAACTGCTTTCACTTGAAGTCAGATAAAAGAAGGTTTGTTAATGGGTGTGGGAACTTTGGAACAAGCTGCTATCTCCCAGCTAAACTCCATAAGTGGAAAAATAATTTGAAGTCTTGTGTTGGGAGTTAGTGGGCTAAATTTGCCTCAGCACGGTTCAGAAAAATCGGAAAACAACATTATACTTTAAGAAGACGTTCTTATTCCTGCTCCAATGGGTCAGAAAGAGCCCCACTGAAGCAGCAGTGTGACAGCAGAAGAGTGGGCAGTCCAGCTCCTACCTCATCCAGACCATGGCCAGAGATGGAAGCACCACCCATTTAATCTAATTAATATGATATACATTTCCCTGGAGCAGCTTATGTGTTGCTCCTCAGAATTCAGGCTGGACTGACCCTCAGCTGTGCAGCAGCACACAGCCCCTTCAGTGCCTGGCAGCCTTCAGGGAGGGCTCGTGTCCCTCGTCACAGCATCGAGTTATCAGCCATGGGAACACACCAGAGAGCTTGAGCCAAAGCAGGGAACAGTAACACACAATGCCATTTTACATTTCCAGTCCCACTCCCAATAAAAATACCACTGCTACAATAAACCTCCTTGCTTGGGACTTCAACAGCACCATGGCTAAAACAGGTACAGGCACAAGAGTGTTCCCCAAGCCCTACAAACAGGCTCTCAGAGGGAGAAGTTTGACTCTTCACTGAGGTGAAGCAGAAGAAAGTGACACAAAAGCAATGAAAGGATGAAAGAAAACTGGCCTTGAACTAACAAGGCCAAAGCAATAAGTTAGTGATGTGATTAGCTCATCTCTCCAGTGTCAACAAGAATTTATCCTTTTTTTTTTTTTTGCTACTTTTTCTAAAAAAAATTTTTCCCCCCTCAACTAAGTCTCCAACCCTTTCAGTCAGGTTGAAGTTTAATACAGGGAGGGATACCAAAACAATAAATTATTTAAAAGACTATTTCTGAGACTGTCAGTACTGATTACACACCAAAGCAATCTCCTGATAGGCATGAGTGAAAAGGGGACCAGAATATTTGGCAACATGAAACAGAGTTCTGATTCATCAAAGATTGACAACAAGGCCTAAATCTGTTGGGTCATATGCCCATATTTATCACACTGATACTAAGTGGAATGGAAAAGTTTCCCAAGACCTGATGACTAAAATCTAGTTTATCAGTTTTAAAAAACTAATCTATTTTTTTCAGTGCAGAGTAAGGAAATTGCTGAAGTAATTACTGCTGCTTAAATTCGTCTCCTGGCTGTTTAAAACAAACTTCAAAAAAATTTAAAAGGTTGCAAAATCCTTATTAATTGGAAAAGTTGAATTTTGTCCAAATCCCCATGAACTGTACCTAGCTAAACACCTGTTTAATCAAATCAATTGAATCTTCAGAAAATTAAAGCTCTATGGTACAGATTACTTCTAATCCTGGAGACGTTAAAATTCAGCATGACAGTTACATTTCCAGAGCTGAAGTCTAAGCTATAAGGACAAAAAAAGGTAATAATATTTAGAAAAAATGTATGGAGAAAACTTAATTAAGATGAGAGGAGACCAGAGCTCCATCTGAAACATTCGAGCAACTTGTACTTATTTGCCTGAATAGTAAAGAAATATCCAAGAAAAAAATGTAACAATTCTCATTGATCTCCAGGATCTTCCAAAGATGTGATTTGTTATTTCTAAAACATGCCTGTTGACAAAGGCATCAGTATGTACTGGAAAACGGGGGGCTACTTCTGCACCCTAATTTATCTAAGCATGGCAAGCAGAAATGCTCTGAGAGGCTCCCTGGGCTGATTAGCTGCACGACTCCACTACAGGAGGGAAGATAAAACAGGTTTTGGTTTTGCAAGGTTAAGTGTAAGGTTTGCAAGGCCTTGGTGTGAGCATCAAATAAGCTCAGGCTGAAAAGAATATATGTGTGTGCCAGTTCTTTAACACAGCAGAAACCACAAGATGCGCTGCGTGACCAAAATTCTACATATGCTATTCTTGAACCTCAATTATCTCCCACAGCGTTAAATTATCCCTCACAAAAAAACCCAGCAAGTGCATAAAAACAAACAGACATTCTTCCATGCAACACTACAAACTGCCTGCCAGTAATACTAGAAACTGATGACTTTGCTACCAAATGGCTTTAAAGTCCATGAATGTCTATAATTAACGGATTATGCCCTATAAATGTCACTGCAGTAAGCCACATTCCCAATATTGATGTAAACTTGTTTCAAGAGTATTAAGGTCAGTTTAGTTTAAAGGGAAATATTTACTTACGTTTCTGTAAAACCCAGCTATCTTTTAAGTATTAAAACACTGAGTATGTATTTCTTTTTTCTCTGCCCCCCCCTTGCAATAAATGCTGTTCCAGCAGTCCAGAAATGCCCAGCAATTCTGATGCAAAATGCAGAGACCAAACAATTCAGCAGGTTTGATTTTAAAGAATGAATAAAACACTTGAAAAGACACAGAGGTATTTTAACTGATGTTTAAACACTCGCAGTATTGGAAACAAGCTATGAAAAGAAACTGAGATGTGGTTATATTCAATCTCTGCAGAATGTTTCTGCCAATCTTATCATCCCTACAGGCAATGAATAAAGACTCTCTTCAGTGGTGCCCAGAAACAGCACGAGGAGCAATGGCCATAAAATAAAACACAAGGTGTTCCTCCTCAACATGAGGAAGAACTTCTGTAGGTTGAGGATGGGAGAGCCCTGGAACAGCTGCCCAGGGAGGGTGTGGAGTCTCCCTCTCTGGAGACATTCCAAACCCACCTGGACACATTCCTGTGTCACCTGCTCCAGGTGACCCTGCCTGGGCAGGGGGATTGGACTGGGTGAGCTCCAGAGGTCCCTTCCAACCCCAACAATTCTGTTATTCTGTGAACACCTCTTGCTTTACAAAAAGGGTTTTGAGCAGTTGAATTC